ATATATATATATCCACGTACACGTATCAATTTTCTTATCTGTACTTGATAATTAGTCAATTTCCCTTTTTTTTTTTTTTTTTCTCTCTGCGGTTAGAATTAACGTACCGCACACGTTTGCCTTGGCAACTTCAGCGCCTGTTTTTCCAATCAGTAAATAGATTTCAATTTGGTCATGTTAATTTTATTTATTAAGTGAAACACTAACCCTCCGAAAGAGAGACTGTGCTTATGAACTGAGCTACAACCGCCAAAAGAACTACATTTAATCTAATCTTATATACGTGCTATTTGCTAACACAAAAGTTCAGACTGTAATCAGTAAGCGATAAACAGAATCATAATCTTGCTCATTACATTTGAGCTTGAATTTCTAGCTTTCATGGAGGCAGCCAATAAAATCAGTATAAGAGGCAGAATTCTCTCCTATCCTTTCATCATTGTTTTCATCTGTAGCGTCCCCAGTCCCGCTGTGAGAGCGCCCGCAGCTGCAAACGACTGCCATGTGGTTATATCTAGAAGAATGATAGAAGTCTGGTTGTGTGTGTCTGTTTTCACTGGCCATGCTTCCCCCGCTGCTCCTCCTCTCGTCTTAAACTTCCTCTTTCTCCTCTTCAACCACCTGTTAGACAGAGTGCTTGTCTTTCCTGTAGAACTAAAAACTTCATTTTGTAGATTTAATTACTATCTCTCTCATTATTTATTTATTTATTTATTTTATATGTATATATATATACACATACATACATATATATGCATATACATATACATACACACACACAATTTTTATTTATTTATTTTTTATTTTTTTCTTGTTTTCTATTAGCAGCACAGTTCGTTTAGTATTTAAAAGGAAAATTTACTTTATGGATATTCTATTTGTTTCCTTAGTAACTTATTGCTAATATTTTGTTTACTATTTGACCGCACTTCCAGTTTTGACTGTTCCCCCAGAGTGCTTCAGTTTACATTTTTAATTTGAATAATTTTACTCCTTCGCTACTCACTTCGCTAATGCCTCCTCTGTCCCTTTTTCTCACTATGTACTTATACAAGTGTAGACGGGTTAGTTTCACTCCCACTTTAAGTTCCATTGTTTCACTACCATCTTATATCGATATTATTATTGTTATCATTTTATATCTTCCTTACTAAAGCCAAATTGAGGGGAACACGACCAATACTAACCACTTATAGCACAAATGTGACATCATGTCTTTGTTCTTTACGTTATCAATTTAATTTAAAATGCCTCTCCTTGCTTACTGGGCTTAAAGACCCTTTTTTTTTTTTTTTTTTTTTTAATCAGCAAATTTATTTATCTCCTTTATGCCGTCTTCATATTGTGACTCTAGGAGTCTTTCTGAGATCGTTTGAAGTTGCACCATGTTTCCAAATCTGCTATTCTTTATAAAGCAACTGGATTCTCTCACGCATGTCTTTTCTCCTTTATTTGTCACTGTCTTAATTACTTTCTGTTTACACCGTTTGATTTGATCCTCCAAATTATCTATGCATTCAATATGAATCCACAACTGCTTTTCACTAAGCGAATAATCCAGAACGTGACACCGAACACTACTGCGATTCAACAGTGCCTGTGCATCCAACACTAAGGCGGCCGTTCTTTCCATTAATTCATATATCTGTTGCCAATCGGATGAACAGGCACAGTGATCTCCCCCTGTCGCAGTGGGAGTGTTATTAATCCAGTAAGCGCAAGAAAATGTCTAACTTCATTTTTAGGGCGTCCCAACACTCTGGAGAATTCATTTTCCCAACTACGTTGATCACATCGAGTGCCATTTCAACAAACGGGGGGTCGTACAACCATAACATGTGTCCACTGCACCTAGAGGTTACTAAGGTCATAACCCAGAGGCGAGCGCCTCAGTCACAGGGGACGCATTTACAAACCACAATATCGTGAAAAGGCCAATCAGAAAACCACTGCTAAATATCAAATAGTACCAAATACAATTTTGCACCCATGACCTGCATCGGGTACCACCCCAGTGCAGGTCCTGTGTAGACTAGCATCAGTACCAGTACCTATAAGGTCTAACATTTCTACAAACAAGTCTCCCAATGGTTTAAACGCAGGTGTGGTAACACCTGTAGCCGAATAAGCCCCTGGCACTTTTAATTAAAACAGAGACTCTCCAAGAGTCTAGGAGGTCCCTCCTCACCTGCTGGAACCCCAAACGAGCGGAGTCCTAGTGGCCACCAAACCCACGGGTTTAAGATTAAAATCTGCTTGAAAACAGCATTGGAAGCCCATTTGGGCCAGTCCCACATTGTCATTCCAGAGCATGCTAGTCCAGTCTCCAATACTATATCTGAATTTATGCCTGTTCCAACAGTTGATGCAGAAAGTGACTTTAAACTTTGCATCTAGCTCCACCCCCAAAAGAGAGTCTCCCCGTGCTCTCATACGGAACTTTCGCATGTTCAGCTGTGCGTCTACCAGCTATTTTTAGCACAAACACCGTCACAGCACAGAACACAACATCCTGGTTCATACACTTCTCATTTGAGCTTCATGCCTGCCGGGGTTAAAGGAGTAGATTTGCCTATTTTAACACACTGTTCAGAGGCACTGACAAGGATAAATCCTGAAGTGAGGCAGACAGCATCTGGGGGCGGGTCCTGGAGCCATTGATCCAGGGAGCCCTCGTACGGCCCTGAAAACATGGATGATAGCTCAGGCCCGTCCCTGCCTACCTTTCTTTTTCTCATGCACTTAAACTTACTGAACATGCTGCTTAATGTATAGCTGTTTAGGATGAACAACCATTCCTGAGTCCAACGTTATTTAATTACCGTCTATCTGCACTATGTGCCCGGAACCTTCTACTGAGTTTTTTTACGTACTTGTCGTGAGAAATAACTCCACGTTTCAGTCAGCAAACGTTCCTGACCTAAAAAGAGACACACGTCTCGTTAGCAGCTTCTCCTATTTTTGTCGGGGTTAAATGAATCTGGCTTAAATATTGCCGCAGCTTTAACAGTTGAATCGGATCGTCCCATATCGTGGTTAACGTCGCGAGATAAGATTTAGCTAAACCTAACCACTACGGCGTTCGTAGAACTAACATAAGCGATAGACGAGATGTGTTTAAGGCCTAAAAGCTCCAAGGCATCTGCAAAGAGTTTAGAGGTGAACATAGTGGAGTTGTCAGTTCTGACAGTCAGAAGTGATTTGACAAATAGTTAAGTCGTCACACAGACTCCCCACTGCCACCTTACTGGTTTCTCTCTTAATTGGGTATAGTTTCGTGTTGCCCCCTGCATTATTAACTGTCACTAAGAATTTACCATGTCCCCTTGGCATTGTCCCGGCTAAATGTCCTATGTCGATGGAAACCCAGGGTTTTCGACCCTGATTGGGAGGTCAGAGGTTACCAATGGCCGCTGACCACCTCGTTCCATACATAGATGACACTCGCACTTAACGATAGGGCATGGTTTTAGATCAGGGCACTTCCTCACCCGAGCTTCTTAAGTTTAATTGACATACTGCCTTCACAGATTTCCCAGAACGGTTAACCGACGTCACGTTTTAGCAGGTCGGATTCCCCCGATGTCTGTCCCTAGTTACTTTAAAAGTCCGCACGTCCAGACTTTTCTTTCCCTACGTAGTGAACCAGTTAGGCAACCCTGACCCAAAAAGGTTCACAAAAAGGGGCTGCGTGATCAGAATTCCCAGGACAACCGTCTCTCCAGGTTGGCCAAGCCTGGAGATTGGGTCACCCCTTTTTTACGCCTACTTCTATACGACAGCGCAAAGAGAAAGGCTATTTAGTTACTTTTATGTTACGCACACACAAACATATTATTATTTACTTATTCGCTTTTAAATCTGAGGTTCCGGGGTCCCTCTTTTTCCGCGGACACGACGCAAGGCAGGTATTTACTTTCCCCGCGCTGTTTCGTGTCCCTGTTCGGGCGCCATGTTGAAAGGACCAGGGCTAAATGACGCAGCCTGGGCCTCACTACCTTTTTTCTAATCACTGTAATAACCCTCAGAAAATCACTCAGCTTTAAAGACACAATGCAAATAACTCTGACTACACTCAAAAAGTATCACATAGCTTTAAAACCACTTTGGTGGGGCTTACGCCAAAACCTTCATCTTTTAACCCCACCCGAGTGAGCTCTCCTGAGACCCAGGGGGGTTCACGACAAGTGAGGAATGTAATCTGATTACTTTGGATTATTTGATTTGCTGTAGAGAAACAAAGACGAGGAAATCTTCACATAAGAAGTTTTATCTGATAAAAGAAAATAAAAAGTCCAGACTTTACTGAACTAAATTAAAAATATTATTGACAGAAGACGAGGAAACACGTCCACACAGCAGGATTTAGTCTTAAATTAAATCCTGTTTTAGACCTGGTTTAGATCTAGTTTAGACCTGGTTTATTTTCCGGCAATGAGTGGAAATACCAAAAAAAAAAAAAAAAAAAAAGGAGGGTATATAGCCCGAAATGTAAAAACAGGAAAATCCTGCTGTGTAATCCTCTTATTTTAACAAAGTAACTGTAATCCACTAAGAAATCATCCCAAGTTTACAGAGAACATTTTGTATGTGGAGCGACGACAAAACAAAATCCTGATCCCTCGTTCA